AGTCTATATTAAAATGCGAAAAAAGGAATATGAATAAATAAAATTAAAAATACCAATGAGGAACGCGTTTGGTATAATGCGAGGAAAAAAAGGATTTAGGATAGCTCTTTGGCTAGTAGACTACCATTGAAGCTGATATAATTGGCTTTAAGGATTGCTATGGCAAACCTTTGTCGAAGAAAAAACCCCTCTTGAGGTTCTTCCGAGTGTTTGCTAATTTGAGATCCTAAATTTTTGAAAAAAGCTAAGGCAAGTTTGCCGAAGGTGGCAAGTGTGGTTGAAATAATTGGAATGAAACAATGGTCATTAGTAATTTCTGTGTATTTCGAGGTTTTAAGCTGTTCCTTCTGGTCAATGATGTTGGTGCCTGGTTAGATGGGGCAAGGGGGTCAATACAAGAAAAGTCCTATACCAATAATTGGCGCCTCTCCTCCACGGAATTTGAGTGATGACGTCTGGATAAGATCTGAAAAGACCCTGGGGTTCAAGTATGGATGGGACTTGTGCTGATTTCAAGGCATGTTGGATGATTGAATTACATTGTCTGTTTCTGATGAATCGACTATTGCAAGAGCGACAATGTAAACTATGTCTTCCATTCGTGTCAACAGGCGAGTTACAGCTTGAACAGATGTGAGGGTAGATGATTGAACAATTTAGACGAATACCAATGGCATGGGTAAGTTCATTGTTCGAAAGTTGAAGATTGACAGAAGGAATGGCCTCGAGAAACTCATGCCCAGTACCATTGAGCAGGGAAGAGAATAGGGTGCGGTCAGTTAATTGCATGCTAGATAAGAGAGTTTCAACGCAGCGAGCAACAACCGGAGCATCCCATTCTTTCTGTCTATGGGTTGTGGGGGATGAGAATCAACATTGATTTGAGTTTTTCAAGTGTTTATGACCTCAATTAAGGAAGGATTTTCTTTAGAATGATGTACGTTTGTTATTTGCTTTGACAAGAGACTACTTGATATGAAAGAGGTTATTGCTAGGTCATAAGGAGATCTAATGCCAAGTCCACAGGATTTGGTGGAGAGCGCAGCTTGCGCCCAAGCGGATTCGTTGAATCTTAGATTTATTATTTTTTCGTTTAGGTCTTTTATTCCATATTCGTATGTTTTTAATGGAAAAGGATATTTAAATATGTGTGTTGCGCGAAGTGCATAAAGAATCCTTGGTATGAATGAGAGAAAGTGGAAGGAGTTCGAGCAGTAAATATCAAGAAAGGGGAGGAGAAAAATATGGAATGTTTTCGATGCCGAAAGGAGGGACATGTGGTGATGGACTATAGAAATTTTTGACAATAGGATGGCAAAAACAAATAAAGAGGGATGTCTAAATATGTTACAAGAGGGTCTAGTACATGATCCGTGTCCCAGAGTGATGATAAATTTAAGTGGGAGAATGGTTCCCATGTTGTTTGATACGGGAGAACCCATTTCGGTAATTGGATATAATGGATATCAGAGTATTTGGCCCGGTGAAATGATAGAGAATGAGGGGATAAGAATAAGACAGTTCAATGGGACCCTGTTGGCGGCAATGAGGAGAGTGGAAATAGTAGCAACATTGGAGGAAAGGTTTGAAATATTAGATTTATGGGTTATCGATTGGAATATAGAAGCGGTGTTGGGATGGGATTGGATAACTAGGATTGGTCCATGGTATAGATTTTGGGGAGTATTTTCATGGTGGGGTATATTCGTACCAATAACGACTGAGGAATATGATGTTATGACATTGAGAGAGAATGTGTTGTCGGGTATTAAGACCATGTTTAAAGAGGAAACCAGAGAAAATATTTCTAGGAGCGAGACAAGGAGCGATAATTTAAGGAGCAAAACAAATCGAAATAATTCAAGGAGCGATAATTTAAGGAGCGAAACAAATCAAAATAATTCAAGGGGTGATAATTCAAGGAGCGAAATAAGGAGAAACAATTCTAGGAGAGAAACAAAGAGCGATAATTTAAGGACGAAACAAGGGAAATTATTCGAGGAGTGAAACCAGGGAAGATATTTCAAGAAACAAAACGGGGAGAAGCAATTATAACGATGTAGGGGGAAGGAGTTCTAGGAGAGAAATAAAGGACCATAAAGTTAAAGAGAAGATAGATAAAAACTACCCGGGGCACGTTGGACCTGTTAAGGAGGGTCGTGATATTAAGAGAAAGGAGGAGGAAGAAGAATTGGGGAAGGGGAGATAGGACGGCAGCAAGAAAGGCAAAGAGTGATGGAGGCGAAGACGTCAGAAAATAGGGTAGTAATGAAGGACAGGACACTGCCCAGTGAAGAAGAGTTGATAAACAATGAAGAAGATGGAAGAAAATTGGCTATGACCCAAGTGCAAGAAGGAGTTCGGAGATTAGTACAAAGTTATCAGGAAATTTTCAACGAAGACTTAGGATGCCTCAGAGATTATGAAGTAGACATTAAGTTAAAAGATGGTTATGTTCCAAAGTTCTGTGCGTTACGACGGATACTGAGATCTATATATCCCTTACTTGAATGGAGAATGGACTTGGAACTGGAGTTGGATCATTGGGTACAAAGAGGAATTGTTTGTCCTGTGGAATACAGTGTGTAAGCGGTTGTGAAGAAAGCCACTGGAAAACTTAGTTTATGCGCCGATTTTCGAGTCACGTTAAATCCATGGGTTGTGGAGGTCAAATATCCGTTGCCAAGAATTGAAGAAATATTAGCCAATTTAAAGGGAAGCGTTTATATTTCAAAAGTAAATTTCTCTAATGCCTATCTACAATTACGTGTAAAACCAGAGATAAAGAAACTATTAACTATAACTACGCCTAAGGGATTATTAGCATTCTGTAGATTACCCTTCGGACTTAGTGTCTCGGCTCCTATTTTATAACGTACCATGGCTGCCGTTTTTCAGGGAATGGAAGGAGTTTTCTATTATATGGATGATGTGTTGGTGACGGGCAGAACGCCCGAACAACATGAATGGAGATTGGAAGAAGTGTTTCAAAGAATCAAAGAAAAAGGATTGAGAGCCAGCGCGGAGAAAAGTGTGTTGAGGGTTCCCGAAGCAACATATTTGGGGCATAAGATCACGGGGAAGGAGGTACGGCCTTTGGACAGAAATATGACAGGAATTAATAATATGATAAGACCTAATAATAAAGCTGAAGTACAGGCCTTTTTGGAGGTAATAAATTATTATCATCGTTTCGTGGAAGGCTTTGATCAAATAGCAGCGCCCTTATATCAATTGTTAAATAAAGGGGGAAAATTTGATTGGACAGATGAGCAAGAGGAGTCCTTCGAAGATTTGAAATGTAGAATAGGAAAGGAACTTGAAGGTGTAGGAGGAGCATTGTTGCATTCAGGCGCGTACGCAGGAATTTGGTCTGGGGGGGGGGGGGGTGATAATAAAATTCTTTAAGAAATATTATTGTTTTTTAAAAATATCAAGCATAAATTTATTAGGACTAATAACTATTTCTAATACACAATTTTAAATTAATGTGAATTATAAAAAAATTATATGTAAAGAATCACTTAAATGACCTAAAATAGAATTTTGAATTTTTTGAGCCTTTACACAAAAAGTTTCTTAGGAATAATTGCATTTTATATGTTATATATTTACAATATAAAATCCAATCATCGCTAATTTTTCAATTATCTCATCCTTGCTTGTCGTCAAATGCCTATGAATATTCAAAAGATCCAAACCTTTCAATCTACTTTCAGATGTTGTACTTCTTGGTATGTTCTTCAGAGACCTGCAGCCTGGCCCCCGGGCTAGACAGTATTTTAATTTTTTTAAATATACCCGGGCCGGGCCCAAAATTTTTTTAAAAAAAGATCCAAGCCGGGCCTAAAAATTTTATTTTAAAAAAAGCCGGGCCGGGCCTGAAAATTTTTTAAATAAAGCCGAGTCGGGCCTAAAATTTTTTTAAAAAAAGCCCAGGCCGGTGTAACGTTTTAGATGAACTCCCGGTTTAATCTAATTTAGTGATATTGGCATTTATGACTGACATGTTAAGATTTAACCTTATTTTTTTTAGTGATATTGACATATTTGATTGAAGTTGTAGTACGTTTAAATCAGATTTATTAAGAATCTATCAAGATCAATTGTAAATATTTCTGGCTTACAAATTTTGCAAAGTAGTAAATAATATATCCTTCTAATATCTTAATTTAATTAATTTTAGATAAAGTATATTAAATGGCATAAAACCTATTATTCTACCAATACTCAACTTTGCAAAGTAAATGATTGTAAATTTTTTTAATAATAAATTTTAGCAATTTTAATAGAATATTTATTTATTTTGAGTATACCTACTATATCAAGATCAATTGTAAATATTGCTGGGCTCCAAATTTTGCAAAGTAGTAAATAATATATCCTTCTAATATCTTAATTTAATTAATTTTAGATAAAGTATATTAAATGGCATAAAAACCTATTATTCTACCAATACTCAACTTTGCAAAGTAAATGATTGTAAATTTTTCTAATAATTAATTTTAGCAATTTTAATAGAATATTTATTTATTTTGAGTATACCTACTAATTTTTTATTTCAATTAAGCTATTTAAATCTTTGCTAACTTAAAAAAATATTGCAAATTTTTTCTATATGATAAATTTCAGTATTGCAAATAAAATGATTGCCCTAAATACACTGAAATATTCTTTATTTTATTTTAAATAAGTTTATTTAAATCTTTGCTAACTTAAAAAATATTGCAAATTTTTTCTATAAGATAAATTTCAGTTTGCAAACAAAATGATTGCCTAAATACACTGAAATATTCTTTATTTTCATTGAATACTATAAATTAAATTTTTGGATATGTTTTTGGGCCATTTATTATATATATTATTTTTTTATTCATTTCAACAGTTGTTTTTGATACCAAAATTATCCTTTGTTTCCCCAATCAAATGACGAAAGACGATAAATCAAGTAAATAAATTTTGTTTAGTATATTTCTGTTCATTTTAATAGAATTCGATGAGATACAGGATTATATCCTTTACCAAAAATATCCATTATCTATGTCTTCTAATAAAGGTTTAAGACGCAATCTGCCAGTTCAGGCCTCGAGATATAAAATTTGTAAGGGTAAAATGCATCACCATTCTCATAATGGTGAAGTTGTTTTGGACCTTGACCGAAGAATTCAACTTCTTCAAATGGTTCACAGTGGATGTGATACTAATGTGTCAGCAATATCTCTTGCTGCCCATTTTGGTATCACCAAGACTTACAGCAAATTGGCTGATAGGTAAAATATATAAAAATTATAATATTATATGATCAATAATATATTTTTAAATATAATACACAATAATAAATTGTTTCACCATTTTTATAATAGTGAAACAATTTTAGATTGTTACAGAAGAGTTTAACTTCTTTAAAAAGTTATAGTGGAGGGGATGTGATACTAATGAGGCAAAATCTTTAGCTGATTATTTTGGTATCACCAAGACTCACAGCAACTTGATTAGTAGGTAAAATATTTCTGCATAATAAATCTATTTATTATATCGTGTATTATATTTTTAGCTTCTGGTGGCCAAATATGAAATTGGATGTGGTTAATTTTGTAAAATGTTGTGATATTTGCCAGCGTAGCAACACAAGATTTGACAAAACTAACAATGAGTTGGATTCAATTCCTATTCCAACAAAGGTATTAAAGTTGATTACATAACAAATTTTTAATTTGAAAATTTTTATAGTTTGGTCATTATAATTGTTTCTAATTTTTGTTTATGTATTTTATATTTTTCATTGTAGCCTTATTAATGATCTGTCTATTATAGCTTGTATGTATGTGGCACTTGTTTTCATTAGTTATGTTGGTTTCATATATTGAACCATTTAAATTTTATTGAATTTTTTTACAAGAAATATATCATATATTCATTTTTAGTTTCTTTAAGGTTAATATAACATTCCAAAATAAAAATATAATTTGCATATAATCTACTAATTAAAACTTATAATCTGAAAATATAATAAATAAAATTAATATAGTCCCCTTCAATCTCAGGTAAAAATTGATATATATATCATAATTTCATTTTTTAGCTAATTTAGATTTTATCTCATTCTTTATTATTATGTTTTTTTTCAGCTGCAATCATAAATAATGGTAAGCAGCTTTACTTTATTACATGACACCTAACCTCCTAATGGAGTATATAATATAACAACAATCTTTTATTTTACAAAAGGTATGGACACAAATAGGTGTTGATTTAACTGCTTTGCCTGAAAGTGAAGATGGCTATAAATACATTGCTGTAGCAGTTGATTATTTCAGCAAATATATTGTAGCCATGCCTTTAAAAGATAAAACAGCAAAATCAATATCGCGCTATCTTTACTCGTTACTATGCACACATGGTAGGGCAAAAGTATAATAAATTTGGTAATAAAATATTAATATTATATATAGATTCAAATTAATGATCAAGGACGTAAGTTCGTAAATGAAATAAGCAATAATTTTCACAAACTCATAGGGACCATGCAGAGGGTGACAAGTGCTTATCACCCTCAAGCAAATGGCATGGTTGAAAGAGTGAATAGAACAATCCAAAATGCACTACTAAAGTGTATCAATTAATTTGGACAGATGCCTTGCCTGGAATAATATTTGCCTATAACACTTCTCTACACGAATCTTCGAAGTTTACGCCATATGAGCTGATGTATGGTAGAAAAGCAAAACAAGCTTATGAGGTATGATAAATCTCATTTTAATATCATATACTATATATTATGTCTCTATTTAAGATTGACGAGGAAGAGGATATTGATCCTGACAATGTACCTGAAGCAGATTTGGAGTCTTGTTTTCAAGATAGAGTTTCCAGGATGAATGATATTCATGAGATAGCTGCTGGCAATATAGATCTTGCTCAGCTTAAACAGCAGAGGGATTATAGAAGTCGTAATGCTGGTAGAAATAACCATTATTTAGTCAATGATCAAGTGCTTATTTGGAACAGCCGTCGGGCTGATAGGAAAGGTGGTAAAATGACCAGACCTTGGATGGGTCCTTATACAATAGTTAGGATTCTTAAAAGTGAAATTTATCATTATTAAATTATTTTTAATATTTAGGCAATGTTGAGCTCATGAATGCTAGCGGTAGCATTTTAAAGAGCAAAGCAAATATATGTAATATAAAACATTACTTTGCAAGAAAAGGTATATAATTGTCTTAATTACTTAGTAATATACATATTTTTTAGATGATAAAAACTGTGAGGTAGTGAGTTATAATGAGGAGTTAAATGTTCAAGAAAATCACTTGAACGGTGTTATTTATAAAACTCACATTAATTTTTTTAAATATTTAGTCTCAAAATTACTCAACACGATTATTGGGGAAGAGAATAAGAATTGTGAAGACCAAAAATATAAAATATTTATTATTATATGTATTTTTTATATGATGCAGATTTTAAGAGGATAAAGATATTAAATGATGAAACGAAGATGTTAGAGCTTGGTAGCCATCGAGAAAATAGTAATATTTTTATAAATCGATATTATTTGTTTTTTAAATTATTAGTTATGCCTTCTAATCCTAATATTTCAGCTGTAATTGACAAAGTAGGACTGTTAATTGAGAAAGGTATTAATATGTGTTATTATTTAATTATGCATATTTTTTAGATAATGAATTGACAGTAGAGACTGTAATTTCTAAGAAAAATGATGCAAATCTATTTCTTCCCACCAACAGAATATGGAAAATTTATCATTCTGAACGTTTTCATTTTGCGATCAAGAAAAGATATCCAAAATATGATAATGGTGTAATGGGAGATAATTTTTCTACCGAGCGGATTATTGGTGATGGAAATTGTCTCTTCAGGTATACATATTTAAAATAAATTATTGTTAATCATTATTGTAGATGTATAAGCAAAGAAGTTTGTGATGACGAATGCCACTACGATTTTCTGAGACAGCAATGCATTCTCTTTATGAGAAGCAAGGATATTGTTGAGCAGATGGAGGGGTTTTTGAGAGAACCCGTTGACAAATATTTGGAGAGAACACGCATGGCTCAAAATGCAACTTATGGAACAGAGGTGGAGATAGTTGCATTGGCAACTATGCTTCAAACAAATATAATTATCCATACCATTTATAAATGGGCATATTACACACCAATTAAAAAATTAAGTTACATTAAAAAATTTAATTTGAATATATATTTAAGAAATTATCGCGAACATTTTGACCGCATAATAAATTTTAATTAATCTTATTTATATCGTATATCTTATTTATATCGTATATCTTATTTATATCGAATATCTTATTTATATCGCATATCTTATTTATACCGTATATCTTATTTATATCGCATATCTTTATAACGCATGTCTTATTTACATCGCACATCTTTATAACGCATATCTTATTTATATCGCATATCTTATTTATACCGTATATCTTATTTATATCGCATATCTTTATATCGAATATCTTCATAACGCATGTCTTATTTACATCGCACATCTTTATAACGCATGTCTTATTTATACGCATGTCTTGTTTATATCGTACGTCTTGTTTATATTGCATATCTTTATAATGCATATCTTATTTATATTGCATATCTTTATAACGCATGTCTTATTTATATTGTATGTCTTATTTATATCGTATATCTTATTTATATCTTTACACGTCAATCATAAATGTCTGTATTAATAAAAATATTATATTTAATCTTTACATGTGAGTCATAAATGTCAGTATTATTAAAAATATTATATTTAATCTTTACACGTCAGTCATAAATGTCAATATCACTAAAACATTATATTTGATCTTAACATGTCAGTCATAAATGTCAATATCACTAAATTAAAATCTATTTAAAACAGGGATTCACTTAAATATCTATAACAATAAAAAATATAATATTTGATCTTTACACGTCAATCATAAATGTCAGTATCACTAAAAATATAATATTTAATATATACGCGTCAGTCATAAATGTCAATATCACTAAAAAATAATATTAAATCTTAACATGTCAGTCATAAATGTCAATATCACTAAATTGGAATTTATTTAAAACGGAATTCATTTAGAACGTTGCACCGGGCCTGAAAATTTTTTAAAAACAACCCAGGACGGGCCGTAAAAATTCTTTAAAAAAAATCCAAGCCGTGCCCTGCAAATGGTACTTCTGCAGACCTCTGCTATTCTTCTTAATGTTCTCTCATTAGTTTACTAATGGGAAGAGTTTATAAACCCTTTTAATACATTGGGAATATAATCTAAAATATGTTTGAAATAATGCAGAGCATCCATGGGTTTTTTTGGGACTATATCAACCATTGTTAATCTTATAAACATAGTTATTCAGCTAGTAAGGCATCATAAGATACTATAACATCTTCATAATAAAAATCTAACAAATATTTTTTTTCCTATCACCATCTGAAAAAGGTTGGGAAGGCTTTTGTGTAAGTAATATTTGTAGATTAGTAAGTGCTGCATGATGAATTAAAAATTCATTTATTTGGGTTATAAATGTATCTGTATTAAGATATACTCTTCTACTGGTCCTATATTAATGTTTTAACGATGAGTTTGCCTTGCTACAAAATATTAAACACGTATTTATCTGCTTTTGACTCAACAATAAAATATGAAATTCTTCATCAACATGATAAAATACTCTCCGCTATTCTCCTCTTCTTAATCATGTCAATGTCATGTTTTTGAAAAGTAATACTTAAAATAGTTGTATAATTAAATATAAAATTCTAATGAGAAATAAAATTTGGAATAAGCATTGAATCCAATAATTTTCTTGCTTCTGAGAAAATATTTCTTTCAGGCCATTGTGATATTTCAGTAATAGCAAATAATTGGCTCTTCTAACTCCTTAAAGTTATTGCTTGATGGCAGAGACTCTATCTCGTTGGACAAGGTTGCATTTTCTTTTTCCCTGTTGGACAAGAAGTTTCTGAATTAATAATTAATTGACTAGAAATTTGAAAATGGTAAATAAATATTACGCCACTAAAAATTTGAAAATAATAAGTAAATATTACGCCGGAAAACTTGAAATCGAAATTAATTGATAAAATAACTTAGTAGAAAAATGTGATAATAAATGTAATTAAATAAATATTTAATATGAGATACGAATAAATATTAACAAATATAAATTAATATAAACAATAATATTTTTGAAAAATATATCCGGCATCTGGATTTTTTGTCTTAGGCTACGTACGCCAATGGTTGCATTATATTGATGAAGTTGAAAGGCCTGTGTTATTTCTCAAGGATATTTAGGGCAGCATAGACCAGGTATTCAGTACAAGAAGCATTGGCCGTTATTTTCGGACTAACTAAGTGTCATGAGTAATTGGAAGAAGATTTGTTATTTACACGGACCATAAGCCGCTTGTACATCTTTTCAAAAAGGATAATAAGGAATTAATGCTATCCCCCCGGTTACAAAGATAGTTACTGCTAGTGGGGAGTTTTGACGTCCAAGTGAAATATCGCAGAGGGAGAGAAAATTATTTACCGGACGTTTTATCAAGGTGCGGAGCGGGGGAGGATTTCGGGGAGAAAGAGCAAGAGGAACGGGTAGAAGGTAAGGAGCAAGGACTGATTAGAACTATGGTTATCTAGAGGCGGGCCCGTGACATGGAAGGAAATTAAAAGGGTGACTTTGAAGGATCGGGAACTGAGATGGATCAAGGGGTGCCTTAAGGGACGGAAAATGTGGCAAGAAGGAGACAAGACCTATAAATATATATAAAAGGAATTAGCAATAATAGATAAATGTTTGATGCGAGGAAATAGGAGTGTTATACCGGCCAAATTAAGAGAAGCAGTAATGGCGATGATTCATGATGGACATCAAGGAATGGAAAGAATGAAATAATGGGGACGGGAATATGTTTGGTAGCCAGGAATGAATAAAGACATTGAAAATATTAGTCGAGCTTGTGTTAGAAGTAATTCTTGGGCTCCGATGCCTCGAAAAGATAAGGAAAGTGTGTGGCCGATGGCAACATAGCCTTGGGAGCGCGTCCACTTTGACTTTGAGAATAAAATATATATTAGTGGTAGATGCTTTTTCGAAATGGGTAGAATATGAGGAAGTGAAAGGATTGACCACTCAAGTCGTGATTAAAGTATTGAAAAATCTATGGGCCAAATTCGGAGTCGCTATGACAGTAGTCTCGGATGGGGGTCCGGCTTTTATTAGTAAGCAATTCAAAGCCTTTTGCGTGGAGACTGGAGCTAAACATATTTTAACGCATCCCTATCATCCGAGTTCGAATGGACAAGCGGAGAGGATGGTAGCTGTGGTCAAGAATTGGTTGAGAAAGTCAAAGGATGGAGGCGGAGAGATGTGGGTAGCAGTGGCGTATTTATTACAACAATAGTAAAAAGGGGGAGGAGTCGTCACCGGCGGAGAAATTTTTAGGACGGAGAACGAGAATTTAGCTGGATTCGTTGAGGCCGGCAGAACACGGAAGGAAATTGTCTGAGAAGAGGATGACGCGGAATTTATGAGTGGACAAGCAGTGTGAGCAAGAATATTTGGAAGTAACAAGAAATGGGAGCCTGGGGTGGTTTTGGAGAATATGGGACGAAAAGTAAATAGAGTAAGATTCGCCGACGGAAGAGAAGGTGTGAGACACAGGGATCAGTTCCGCAAGCGAATAGAGCCAGAAAAATTGAGGGGTTTGCAAGGTTAAGGGGGCTTAGATCAGCAGATAGATAATATAGATAACGGTTAAATAGTTATTAAAATGGGATAGGAGTAGGAGTAGGAATATATTATAACTAATGGGTTAAGCAATGGATATGGTGAGATGGGGCAAACATGAGCCAGAGGGTTGGGGAAAGAGCAAAGATCATGTAAATTTTTGTTAAATTGGTTCGAAAGTGAAGGAATATGGATATGTGGAGGTATTAGAGAATCGGGAGTGGGAAGACAAGAGAAGCGGACTGAAGATACAGAGGAAGAAGATTGGATGAACAGTTGGGAAGACATTGTGCAATATTTGATATCAGATGACGAAAATGTTTTTTTTGATGGTGGGCCTGGTGATTTGTAGTTTGTGTTATTATTATTATTATTAGAGTAAAGATATTTCATATATTTAGTTATTATATTACTATTTTATTTTTATTGACATATTTTTTTGTTTGTATTATAGAGATATTTCATATATTTAGTTATTATAGTAATATTTATTTTATAGATTTTTTTGTTGATAAATTTTTTTTTGAGCGTATTATTATTATTATTATTATGATTTGTTTGTAGAAAATAGATATATAAGGCTGTGTCTTAAATATCAAAAATTGCATAAAAATTATCTCGCGCAATTTACGCGAATCTAACGAAAAAAATAATATAAGCTATTTTTAATGGTAAATTAAAATGTTGGCCTAAATGATTTTTTCGATTTTGCGCAAATCATGTGATTCTTAAAAATTATACGATTCGTAAAACTTTAATCATTTTTTCCTTAAACTTTTGCGAATTGAGGGAATAAAAATGGCTAACGAATTTCAATTGATGATGCTATATCCAGAAAATCAGGTATAATTATAAATATATATAAATATTATTTTATATTTTAGGTTCAGGTGCTAATATTTTGAATAGCAAGCAACTCAAATTTATTGAGGATTATTATTGGCTAAAAGAAAATGTTGAAGATATTTGTAAGCATTCTGAAGCTAGTTTCAGTTTGAAACTATCTAAGGATTCTATTAATGATCAAACATCATCACATTCACAGGTATTATAACATGAAATTAGATCTATATAATAAACTATGTTTTAGAATGATGAACCTAGTGCACAATATATCTTGAATGATATAGTTAATACATTTAGTCCTATAGACATAAATATGTTTGAGAATGAAATATTAGAAGTTAAATATTTATTATGTATTTTATTAATTTAATGATAGTTAGACAATTCTAATATTGAAAATGTTTATCCTTTTTCCTCTAAAAGGAAAAATTTTGAAAAATCTAAATCTAAAAGAATTAATAAAATTAAAAAATATGATACTGAGAAGATGGATATATTTAAAGGTAAATATTTATTATATTTAATAATTATTTATTTTTGAAATAGATTTTGCAAAAAAAATGTCATGTTGATGATATTCATCATGTTCAGGCATTTTTTAAATCATTCCAAACAACCTTTAATCTAATGACTGAAAAAGAAATATACCAAATGAAAATGAAATTTTTAGAAAATATATCTTTATATATGTAATCTTATATCTTTATTTTTAATACCATATTTATAATATGTTCATATTTTGTATATTTTTATAATAAAAATTATTATATTTAATGATTTATTAAAAAATGTAAATTTATTAAGCAGTCTTCCTCATTAAAATAATTAAATAACTTTATTCAATACAATCAAAACAACACTTTTTATTGCACTTTTTATTGAATATTTATAAATAAATTATATAACTTTGACAAATGAAAACATTCATAAGAGGTATAAGGTTATGAGAATTAAAAAATAAATGCTATACATAAATTTTATATCAAATTATTTACAAATAAGTTAAATTTTTCTCTGATATTATTAGAGCTTTCAGTCCTTCGCTGGAAATGAGATTGTGTAAAATTTGAAATTGGATATTCTTCATGTACTGGTGTACAATCATTTCCCTCAAGATCAATAATAATATTATGCAAAAGGCAGTCAGTCTTAACTATTTGTATAGTGTTTGTAATATTTGTTTCTGAAGGTTTGTAAAGATGTCTGAATTTAGCACTCAATATGCCAAAGCATCTTTCTATTGATACTCTGGCTTTTGATAATTTGTTATTGAAATTATTTTTATTGTCATTTAAATTTGTTTTATATGGTTTGATAATAAAATCCAATAGGGGATAAGCATCATCACCTACAAATATGTAAGGTGATAATATATCTGTAGAAAGTAAGAAATTTGGATTGGGAATTTTTATAATTTTTCTGATCATCCCTTCATAAAATAGGCTTTTTGTAAATATGCTTCTATCTGATATAGAACCAGGAAACCCAACCTCAATCAACATGAATCTAGAAAAGAATTAAAATTAAAAAAATATATAATTACCTAGCTTTATCATCTGCAACACCTTGAATCACAATGGAATTGAATTTTTTATAATTATAAAATGTGGATCCACTTTTTTTAGGTTGTTTTATTTTCACATGTTTTCCATCAATAGCACCTATTATATGAGGAAAACTTGATTTCCTGAAGTAACCTGCTGATATTTCAAGCATCTGTTGAACTGTTGGAAAACAGAGATGCTTGGGTTGAAGACCTACCCATAATAACCTACAAGTTGATGTAACTATTGTACTTACTGATGTTTTGCCAATCTTAGCATATAAAGCTATTTTTTCTAAAGCTCATACCAGTTGTCAAATATCTATAAATATATAGATATTATATAAAAAAATAATCATCATACATGAGTGTTATATATAATCTATGCTTCATACTGATAGAGTTTTTATGTATAACTATAGTGGTGTCTATAGATTCCAATTTTATAAGAATGTAATTAAATGTTTCAACATGCATGTGGAACATCTGACGAAATTTGTCAGGATAAGATGGAATACTATCAAATATTTTAAAAAGTCCTTGATCTCTAGAATTAATACATATAATATAAATAATATCATACATACCGGCCTTCTAAAAATCTATGCCTTCTTCTACCCTCAGTCGTATCAACAAATAATATAAAAAATAGAAATAGTAAATCAAACATTTTAAAATTGAAAATAAATGTATGAATCGGGACATGTTTCGTATCTCTCAAATCTCCCGTAATTTTTGCGATTCGCAAAAATTTTAAGAAATTTTTTTTTTGATTTAGGACACAGCTTAAAGAAAGAAAAATATAATAAAATTATTATTATTTAAAAAAAAGGTTTTTTTCTTGTTTGAAAAAATTAATTAATTTGTTTAAAAAAAAAGAATTATATATTTTTTTAAAGTTAGTAAAAATATTATTTTTGAAAAGAAAAAAAAAATAAAGAAAAATTTAGTTTTTTCTGAAATTTAGTATTTTGTGTAATAATTTTGTATAAGAAGAAAATTTAAAAAAAAAGGTAGAAAAAAGGATTTGTAAAAAGAGAAAAATAAATAAACTCTAAACAAGGTTTCTAAAAAGAGGAAAATAAAAACTTGGAACCGATCTTATTAAAAATTTCGATCCTACAACCCCTTGGTAGCATTATATTTGTTAAGCGCGATAGCTAGAGGCACAGTATCTTCAAAAGTAATATTTCCTTCGGCATATTTTGACCGAAGTTCTTTGTCCAGCTCAGGTAACCCTACTCCTAAGATGAAAATATCTCTTAAGAGTTCATAAACCGGCGATTTAAAATTACATAAAGAGCAAATGCTTTTTAATTTGATTGAAAAATCGATAATAGTTTCACTGCCTCTTTTTAAAGTATAAAAGTTATTCGAATAATACTCAAAAAATCTTTAAATATTTTTTCTAAATTGTCAAGTAAAATTGGATAATTTATGTTATCTAGGTTATTAGGAAAGTAAATAAATTATCAGTGCCTATATAGGCTAATATAATAAATCTTTTTTTTTATTTTGATCAACAATATTTTTTTACTTTGAAAATGAGTTCTATATTATATAGGTAATCCTGTATATTAACTTTTTCTTTTTCAGGAATATGAAATTGAGTAGGTTCTTCAATTTTCTTTAGAGGCATAGTATAATTTTAATCTTTTTATTTAAAATAATTCGTCGTCTTCAATAGACTTGAAATGAATTGTCGCCAAATGAAATGAATTTAGAAAAATAATATAAAGTGATTTATTTAATATAATAAAATATATTTATATGTTTTTCTATTTTGTATATTATAATAAATTGTAGCTTAAAGCAAATATAAAAATCAATTTATTTTAATACATTACAATAAAAAATAATTTTAATTTATTAAAATTTTATTATACTACTAAATTTTAAATTTATTTTATTTTTTATATATCTCTACACTGAAAATTTACAGTCTTTATATATTTAAAAAATACATTTTTACATATTAAAATAATAAGTTTTTTAAAAGGTTATATAAATCTATTTCAAAAAACGAAAAAAGAAAGTGCGACAAGGTCGTCCGAACCTTATTTGTCAAAGGTCGTTTAAATTATTTTACAAAAAGTAAAAGAAAGAAAAATATAAAAGTTTTAATATACAAAATTAATATATTAACATTTCCTTCTTTTTTTTAATGTCTTCTTTCCTCATTTTATTATTTTCACTTCCAGTCATTTGTTTCTCAATTTTTCCATTAGTCATTTGTTCGTATATCTTGAGATAGTTTGTTTGACCATCTGATTATCGTTTGTTGTATCGTTTATGATCTTTTGTGAAACATCGTTGGTTGAACATTGCTTGTTGATTTGCTGTTTGTATTGATCATCCCATTTCTCTTTCAAAATTTTATATATATTTTTTTACAAAAATTTTTATTTATTTATAACAATCATTTTCTATGTCGTAAATCATATTCTCTCTTTTGAAATTGACTTTGAAATTTCGAATTTTGAACTTGACTTGAACTTTCGAATTTTGAACTTGAACTTGTTCACTTCTTCCCCTTCAAAAATTTTTTCAGTACTTCTTTTGTTAAATTCGTTGCTCTTTTCTTTATTTGATCCAAATGTCTCCTAATAATATGATGTCCATTGTCTATTTTGTACGTTAAGTTTCCTTCTTTTTGTATCACTGTTACTTTGTCCCAAATATTTTCTTTAAACGTTTTGTATCAAATTTTTTCTCCTACGTCTATTTCTCTATTATTCGATATTTTCCTCCTTAATATATTTTCATTTTCTTCCATTGGTTTAATTAAATCCCATTTATTCCTCATTGTTCTTGAAAACATCAACTTGCTAGGTATCATATTTGTTGTATCATTAGGCGTATTTCTATAATTGAACAAAAAAATTTCCAACGCAATGTCCACATCTATTTTCTTGTTGTTTTCCATATTTCTTTTCATGTTCATTTTCATCGTTTTTATCATGCGTTCACATTGCCCATTCGATTGTTGATGATGCGGTGCTGTGAGTATATGTTTGACACCATGATCTTCACAAAACTTTTTAAATAAATAGCTAGTAAAATTAGTACCATTTTCCGTCACTATTTTGTATGGTACTCCAAATAAACTAACAATTCTGATCAATTCTTTTATCGTAGATTCAGTTGTTAAGTTCTTCATACGTGTTATTATTGGAAATTTGCTATATGCGTCAACAAATACCATAAAATTGTTATTTTCAAATTGTGCAAAATCTATGTGTCCTCGTTCGAAAATCTTAGTTGCTTTCTCCCATGGGTTTTGTATGTTGTGTGGGTTATCTGTGTATTTATTACATGAATCACAATTTTTCACCTTTTGATCTATTTCTGTATTTATACCAGGCTACCATAAGTAATTTCTTACTAACAATTTCGTTTTGACTGCTCCTAGATGTCCCTTGTGTAATTCACGTGAGATCTCCTTTCTCATATTCATCGGTATTATTATTCTGTTTTCCTTAAAAAGACAATCTTTCATCAAGCTCAATTCCATCTCCATATTTTTGTACGTTTTATTTTTTATCGGGTTGTTACTCCTAATATTATCAATTATTTCCTTCATCCTTATTTGTTTCTTTAACTATGAAGTTTATTGGGATGTCCCATAATCTGTCATCAATTTTTTCACCTTCTATAATCTTTATCGCACTTTCGGTATTTGTTAATGGTAATCTTGATAAACAATCTGACACTAAATTCTGTTTCCCCGGTATATGTATTATTGTGTAATCATAAGCTTCCATTGCTAAATTCCACTTTTGTAATCGCATTGATATTGATTTTCTTTGAGTGTTTTTGAAAATATATATTAGCGGTTTGTGATCTGTTATTATCGTAAATTTTGTCCCAATCAAATATTCTTGAAATTTTTTCACAGCATATATTATAGATAGAGCTTCTCTTTCAATATTTGTATAATTTGTTTCAGCTTTCTATAAAGTTCTCGACGCAAATGCTATAGGTTTTTCTTTACCATCGCCTTCAATGTGAAATAATACTGCACCTAATCCTTTTTTCGAAGCGTCAGTAGCAATTCCTATAGGCAATTCAGGATTGTAAAAATTTAGAGTTTGCGGACTACTAATTAACGTTTTCAAATCATGAAAATTTTTCTAATGTGCATCTTCCCATGTCCACTTTTCTTTGTTAACGATTTTATATAACGGGTCTGCTAAGTCTGCAAAGTTACAAAAAAAATTTCTGTAATAACTGGCCATGCCTAAAAATGTTGCCAATTCCTCTTTTGTTGTTGGTCTTGGCATGTTTGTAATGGCTTTGATTTTATCTTCATTCAGATGCATGCCTTTTTCGTCTATATCATGTCCCAAAAATCTTATCTCCTTCTTCATAAACACACTCTTGTTGAAGTTTGGTGTAAGTCCATATTTTGTTATTTTGTCGAAGACTTTTTTATGTTGTTCAGATGTACTGTATCATTATCACCAGTTATCAATAAATCATCTATGTAAAATATGACATCAGAGGTGCATTTTTTTAACCAAAAAAATAGAAGTATATATAATTAGATATATAACGCAGTGGAAATTTTCTCAGGATTTTCATCATATTTTAGAAAAATATTTTTTCCTCTTGTTCATACATCATAATTGTGTTTTGTGATAATATAATAATAGCTCAACTCTAGTAATTTTCATCGGAAGGAATTCTTTTTATCTGAAATATATTTAAAATTTTTAATAATAACTGAAATAAGGATGAGGAGTAGGATTAAAGGTTAACAAAACAAGGCCAACTTCCTTTTCTAATTTTAATTCAACTAATAATAATATAAATTTCTGAAAAATAATTTGATAAAATATATTGATAATTTCGCAACACCATTTTTATGTTAAATTGCTCATTTTCCATAATACAACGTGTAAGGAAAAAATTATTTCAATCTTTAAAAACAGCATTTAAAATGCTCACATTTACTCAGTAAAATTTTGTTAAACAGTGAATATGAAAGGATAAAATATAGTGACTGAAAGATGGATGAGTGGAATGTATTATAAATTTTATTATAGCAATCCAAAGTCCCATTTTCTATAAATTAATTGAAACAGGGACCATTATGCATACGGAAGAATATAAATATATTTAGTAAATTTATTAAAGTTATTGTAGAAATAGGAACCACAAAAATTAACATTATAATAAATAATGCAAGTAATGAAGAAAGCCTGAATACTCGTGAGATCCAATTATTGAATGTATTATATATTTTAAAAAAAACATTGCGGATTTAATTTTATAAATTGATTTTCAGGATACTTAGATTTAGATGTTGCAAAAGAGATGACAAATTGCTCAATTTTCAAGATCTGGAATAGAGGTGGGCGCGGGCCTAATTTTTTATTCACGGCCCGCCCGCTCACGGTGGCAATAAAAAAATTCACGCCCATTCACGCTTACCACTAAAAAATTTTCGACCCGCCCGCTCACGATAAGCAATATTTTGATTAACGCCCGTCACGCCCGAAATTCACGGTGTTTTTAAATTTTTCAAAACTTGCTATAATATCACACTTTTTTGAATTCATTCTATTTATTTCTCTAATTTCATAATCCATATTAATAACAAAAATAAATACAATCTATAAATCTAAATTTATTTAGAAAAAGAAGAATGCCCATCTTTTTTTATTACAATTGTGTACGCCTTTCCTCTAATAAGAGATTGGCTACAGGAAATAACCTTTCACTAGAAGCCGAACTTATAATTTTCTTAAAAGGGAATGAATATTCCTGCTTCCAAAACTTCAAAATATTGTCTTGTAATTTATCTTATATGAATCTTTTAAGTTCATCCTCACAGCTTTCATCGGTGATGTTGATGCTTCATCAGAATCATCTAAAAATTCTCTAAATTTTTTATTTAGAATATACGGTCTTTTATGAGTGTAAGATGAATTAGGAAAGTGATAGTTGGTATTGACCATTTAGAATATACGGTTTTTTATGAGTTTAGGATAAGTTAGGAAAGTTATAAATGATAATTGGCATTGACTTATGCATATCATCTAATTTTATATCATTTCGCATTTTTAAGATTGTTTTATATATATCATTTTCTTCTTTTATTAAAAACTTAAGTCTTTTGAAATTCGAATCTAGAATTATTAAAATAAATCTTGTTCTGTATTTTAAGGTTTTGATTGTTATTGTATCACGTTCAGAAGGTTAACAAAATTTTATTAATTTTTATTTCCATCAAACTTCATTTATTGTGGGACGAGAATCTGCTCTCAGATTATCCGAGCCTTCTTTAAATATTGATAAAAATTTATCTAACTCGGATGCTGATATCAATTGTGGCTAATCTATTTAATTCTTGTTGCTAAACAAGTAGACCTGTATTTCAGAATATGATTTTAAGAAACTCTGTAACATGATATATACAGAGTTCCATCTAGTTATTTTCGCTATTACAACTCGTTTTAGAGTGTGGTTTAGTTTGCTATTAGCTGTAGATTGTTTGAAATATTGTACCATTTTTTTACACCATTTATTTATGGCTATTTCAGTTAAACAATTGTCAAAAATATAATGCATAATATTATTTAGTATATGGCATATACATGCAAGCGTTTCGTCATCTTTGAATGCACTTATAAGATTTGCTCTGTTATCACTCACAACACATTTATTTAATTATTTTCTACTTCTGTATATTCTCCTAAAATTAATTGATTACACTTTTAATTTTGACGTTTTTTTCATCCATTGCCATTGTGTCCAAAACAAATGTTTTTAATTTAAAATCCTTAATGATAATATGTCCTATAATGGTTAAAAAACTTAGATTTTTATAGTCATCCGTCCAAATATCAGTGATTATGGAAAAGTAATTATTATTGATCATGCTTTTAATCTTAAATTTTATTTCATGGTATATTTTTGGACCTATAGTATTCATGAGAGTTTTCCGGTTCACAACTTAAATATTTTGTTATCCATATGTAACACCAACATTTATCTCTTGGCCTAGCTTGTAAAATCCTTCACCTTCTGTTGCATTTAAAGATTGAAGATCTTTATAAATAAAATATAACTGACTTTTCTGTAAAAAGTTTAAGCAAAATTTAGCATAAAGTCTCGCGACAAAAAACACCTAAACAAAAAAAGAAAATAGAACTAACTATGTTGTTTATAAAATGCGGAAGATTTTTAGCTTTCATTATTCTTTTTTAAAAAAGAACTAAATTAAATAAGAAAATATATAATATAATTATACTAATTTATATTTATAAAAAATTAATTTAAAAAATTAAAATTTCCGTGATTCACGGGAAATTTATGTTCATGCCTGATCACGCCCGGGGAAAATTTTGGGAAGGCCCGTCACGCCTTGAAATTTAAAATTTATTCACACTCACGCCGTGACCCACCGTGACACGATGGGTCACGCCTAATTTCACGGCCCGCGCCCACCTCTAATCTGGAATCGTTTCAAAAAATTAAATAATTATCATATTTGTTTAAATAACATATTTTTAGATAATATATTTTTAATATAACATGAAAAAAAAATCAATATTGACCTGTAAAATAATTGTAAGGAGATTTCCTCAAATTTCCCTCATTTATAGTTTCCCGAGAAATTTACATCCCTATTAAAATTGATTGATGTTTTTAATTTAGGACCAGTCGTTATATTTAAAAAAAATTAACTAATTATAATGTCTATGCGCATTTTATCAGATTAGAAAGTATCTAGTAAAGTGATTTTTTACAAAATTATATTTACAATAAATGATTAAACTTAAAAAAATTATAGTTCCTTTATTATTTTAATATTTTTTATCAAATTCATTATAAAAGTACATGAAAAAATTTTACATTATAAGATAGGAACCCCACACCTCGGATTCTAGGCAGACACCATTAGTTATGAACTGGGTAAGGTACTAGAATAAGGTGGTTTTAATTTGTATATATTATAGGTTAATCAAATTAGATTGTTGTTAATCTACTTATTATACCATTGAATATCAGGATGTGGTATTGTAGACACTTTTATATAAAAAGGAAACAAAATAATGTATATTTGCAGGCGCGTACGCAGAGGGGCGGGCAGGGAGACAAATCTCCACCCCAAAGCCAAAAAATACAGATGCTGGATTATATTTTTTAAAAATATTATTGTTATAAATATTTATTCCTATCTCATATATATTTAATTACATTTATTTATCACATTCATCCACTAAGTTATTTTATCAATTAATTTCGATTTCAAGTTTTCCTTGGTGTAATATTTACCTATTATTTTTTATTGACGTATTATTTATCTAAATTAATTTCTAGTCAAATAATAATTATCTCTGAAACTCCTTGTCCAATAGGGAGAAAGAAATTGCAAGTTTGCCCAACGAGATCGAGTCTCCGCCATTAAGCAGTAACAGCTTTTATGGAGTTAGAAGAGTCGATTATTAATGCTATTTCTGAAATATCACATGGCTTGAAAGAAATATTTCCTCAGAAGCAAGAAAATTATTGGAAACAATACTTATTACAATTTTTTCTTTCTCATTAGAATGTATTATTTAATTATAGTACAACTATTTTATGTAATACTTTTCAAAAACATGACATTTACTTGATTAAGAAGATGAGAATAGCGGAGAGCATTTTATTAGAACTCAAGAAAATTAGAGCTAATGTTGATGAAGAATTTCATATTTTATATGTTATTGATGAGTCAAAAGCAGAGCTATATGTGTTTAATATTTGTCCCCCTCGACTTGCAGCAAGCAAGTTCATCGTCAAAACATTAATATAGGATCAGTAGAAGAGTATTATAAAACAAATGTCCCCTCTTTTAGATACATTTATAACCCGAATAAATGAATGGTTTTTAATTCATCATGCAGCACTTACCAATCCGCAGATATTATTCACAAAAGCCTTTCTAACCGTTTTCAGATGGTGATAGAGAAAATATATATTTGTTAGATTTTTATCATGAAGATGTTAAAGTATCTTATGATGCCTAATTAGCTGAATAACTATGATTAAAAGATTAACTATGGTTGATACAGTCATAAAAAATGCAATGGATGCTTTGCATTATTTCAAAAACATTTTAGATTTATATTCCAAATGTATTAAAATGGTTATATATACATATATATTAGCAACTCTCCAAATGTATTAAAATGGTTATATATACATATATATTAGCAACTCTTCCCATTAGTAAACTAATGAGAACATTCTCTTTTTTAAAAAGAATAACAGAGCCCTGCAGAGGTACCATTTGAAGGAAACGGCTCGGATTTTTTTTTCAAAATTTTTTTCAACCCGACCCAAGTTTTTTTTTAATTTTCAGGCCCGACCTGGCAGGTCCGGCCCGAATTTTTTTAAAATAAATTATATTTATTTTTGATTTTTATAACTAATAATGGCGATTTCAAATATTTGGTTTTAAAATATAGAGCCCGGCCCGGATATTTTTTTTTAAAAATCAGGCCCAACCCGGGTGTTTTTTTTAAAAAAAATTTGGGCTGTTTAAAAAAATTAAAATACGGGCCGGCCCGGGGGCCGGGCCTGCAAGTCTCTGAAAAACATACCTATGAAGTACAACTTCTGAAAGTAGATTGAATGGTTTGGATCTTTTGAATATTCATAGACATTTAACGCCAAGCAAGAATGAGATAATTGAAAAAATAGTTCAAAACATACAAAATACAATTATTCATAAGAAACTTTTTGTGTATTATTTATATTTCCAACATTTAAATTTTTTATACTTTATATATAAATTTTAAAGGCTCAAAAAATTCAAATTTCAATTTTGGGTCATTTAAGTGATTCATATCGTGGTTATTATATTCACTTTATATTTTATATATATATAATTTTTTTGTAATTCACATTAATTTAAAATTATGTATTAGAAAAGTTATTAGTCCTAATAAATTTATGCTTAATATTTTTAAATAACAATATTTCTTAAAAAATTTTATTATCCCCCCACCCCAGACCAAATTCCTGCGTACGCGCCTGTATATTTGTGCATATGAATTAAATTTATTACAAAAATGAATATTATATACGTATATCTTTCATATTACAAAGGAGAATAACATTTTTATTCTATAATTATGCTATTTATTATTCATTTAGAAAATAAAAATTCCAAAAAATATTGAGTTTTCGATGGCTTTTAAGCATACTTTTATAAAAAGAAGAGCGCTTATGTATTAAACAAATCAAAATAGGGTGTCCTAGTTCACAAGCTTTTGGCCTATACTAAAAAATAATTAAATATACCAATTAAGTCGACGCAGGATACAGCCTAAGACTTTATTTAATATATTATAAATAATTGAAATATATTTGGAACCACGTCCAAGAAAAATATATTGAAAAAAATGTATAAAAAGAAATTCAATTTCGCGAATTCAAAATCATTCAATTTCTAAATAATGAAAATATTTTTGTTAAAAAACAAATATATATCTATTTTTATCGATCATAACTAACTTAACTTGATTGGCATATGTTTAAATATTAATGCAAATTGTAAACCTAAGTTACTAATCCTGGACCAGATTCCATGTCTTTCTTTTATAACGAGAGTTATTTAAAATTACGTATATCATATGGAAGGGAAATATTTTTCCTTTAAAATATGCCATAAATTGCAAAACAATAATTTTTTAAACAATATCGCCTATTTAAAAATTTATTATTTGTTTATAATATAGTTTTAGAAAGAAATAAAATAAGTTTTTGGAATAAAAATTTTGTTTATGCATCTCTTCATTATTTCATCTTTTATTGAAGAAGGAATATCTTTAGATTAATTATTTTTCAATATCAATCATTGTTATTCGATGAAACGCTATTTTTAGTATAAGGTTGAAGAGTTTGATTCGGATAAGGCTTGATTAAATAAGATTTTAAAAAAAGTATAAATTTATATGAATGCGATCTCTTTATATAGGTCAAGATCGAGTTAATTAGATTATTATATTTACCGATCTCCTTCAATTAATTACTCGAAGGAATCAAATCCCTAAAATAAATTTTCTTATAATAAAAAAATAATTATTACATTGCACAAGAAATCGTTCTTTTGTAATGAAGTTCGTTTTTTGAAAAAAATGATGAACGACGTTCCTTTTATTTTTGACTAACATTGAAAGTAAACACGTTTCTTTTTTTGAAGAATGCGTTTATTTTTTAAGTTCGTTCAATTTTAGAAAATCCTCTTATTTATATTCATTTAAAAATAAAAAATATTAATTCAAAATTTTTAAGAAAAAAGGGTTATTTTAGCTGTTTCTTTTATCACATTAGAACATTTTTTAACCAGCCACTATTTCTGTCCTATATATTTTATTAACTTGAATATTGTTATTATAACTTATGGATTAACGCAAGCATGGATAATTCTGAAAATTTAGAATCAGATGAATTAACATTAACATGATATAATGAATACTTTACAGTAACATCATATATATATTCGGTAAACTAAGTCTATTCTTACCAAATGTAAAATGTGTCCAAAAGTATAACATCAGTTTCGATATCTTGAGGTTCTAATTTATAGAGATATTTGATAGTGATATTTATTATTATATCTAGCATATCTATAAGTATCCTGTTAATAATTTATGTATTTAATAAGCTAATTAAACTATATCATTAAATATTATATGGTAGCGTCAATGTGTTTTTTCTCATTTTTGAGCTACTTTTTTAAAAATTTACGAATCTAATTTTACCGGAAATATATGCTCATGTTTGGAATACCTACCCTATGAATTTCTGACAATTTTTCATGAACTTTTAAACCGAATATAATTTATATTAAATTTTCCATATATTTTTTATATAAATTATATGACTCAAAGGTTAACAGCAAAATTGTCTAGTCTACAATTCATAAGATAGGTATTTCAAACATGATAGAATATATTTCCAGTAAAATCAGATTTTTAAATTTAATAAAACGCGCTCAAAATATAAAGTTGTAAAAATAACACAATTCCGGAAAAAACGCATTGACGCCAACATATACATATATATAAAATAGTTAATATCTTTCAGAGACCTGCTGGCCCGGCCCTAAACCCGGCCGTATTTTAATTTTTTTTAATATACCCGGGCCTAAGATTGTTGAACCCGGGCAAGGCCGGGCTTTAATATTTTTTATAAAAATTTATACATTATGAGTTAATTGTTATAAGATTATATTATATTATAGTTATGATTAATATAATTGGGTGAGGTTGAATATAATTTTAAAAAATTCCGAGCCGGGCCATAAAAAATTTTTGAAAAAAAAATCCGGGCCGGGCCGTACAAATGGTACCTCTTCTAATTTATTAATTTTTAGTGTTATTCAAAATATTATTTTTAAGTTTTTATCAAGAGTTTTATATTTTAATAGTTGAATACAATTTAAAGTATTATAAATTTATATATTTTATAAATAATTAAATTATATCATTCTTAATAAGAAATGAGATAATTGATTGGATTATATTAAATCTATTCTAATCTTTATTAATATGAATTTATTTCACATGAGTATGGACTATAAAATGATTGTGATATTCATTATATTGACCCAATCTTTAATGGAAGATTTTGATCATCTTTTAATTATTATAATTTTCTAGTTGAAATATATTTAGATATCAAGCCTATTTATGAGAATAATAATACTATTATAAACTACTTATTGTGAATGTATGTTGTAAATATTTATTTTGTCAGTATATACTAAATTAGTGTTGTTGAACGGCGCAATTCTTAAAACGGTTAGCATTTTATTTTAGCCAAAAAATATTACGTAATTCTCTGGATTTCGTTAATAGATGTTCAAACCTTTTTACCTTCATTATGCAAAATCTCTAGTTTTGGCTAAGTTTAGGTTAGTCCTTAAAAATCGAGCCGTATACTATACCAAATACAATGCTCTTGAACAAATTTTTTTGTACCAAAGCATATAAGAGAGGACATTTTAAATAAATCAAGAAAATATTATCTATTTTTTTATAATATCTTAATTATAAAAATTAGAGGATTAAGCCTACATTAAATAATTAAAGGTTATAAAATAATTATAGAATCTTAGTTTATTTAAAATCAGCTGTTAAAGGGTCGACGATCCTGATTTCGATCTTTATTTTGGCAAATTACACGGATTTATGATTTTCTCTTAAATTGAAGATCGTGATCGAGATCATTTTGTTAAATATTCGATCCTTTTTTAAAAAAAAAAATTTCTTTTTTCTCTTTAGCTTTCACCTTTTCTGGTGGTAAGCTCCTTCAATATCTCTCTCCACTTTAAGTTATTCATAATATCTCTTTTATCTAATTTATACTTCTTCATATTGGCTCTAACTTTATGGCCCCTTTGAAGTTTTGACCTTCCTCTTTTACGTTTACCTATCACTTCCAAACTCTCAACCTTCCTATATAGTTCATAGGCCTTCTCATTGTATGCCCTTACCATCTAAGTCTGTTTATCATTATCATAGTCTTAATGGGCACTACCTTAAAAATTCCTAGTATTCTTGTACTTCGCACCTTATCCTTTCTTGTTACCCCAGCAATCATCCTCAGCATTCTCATCTCGTCTGATTCTTTGGTTGGTCATGTTTCCGAACTATATAGAATAGTTGGTTGTACTTTGGAACCGTAAATTCTTCCCTTCAATTTGTGTAGGATTCTTTTGTCAAAGAGCACTCCAGATAAAAATCTCCACTTTAACCACCCTCGATTAATTTTACTCATTATCTCTTTCTCTATTGTGCCGTTTGTTTGTATAGTGGAGTCCAAATATTTACAGCTTTCAATTGCCGATATCTGCCATTCATTTATATCAATGCTCTCTGTTTCATCTCTTCCTATCACCATACTCAGTCTTTTCTCTATTTATTTTTAGTCCGTGCTTTTCTAGGATATTTATCCAGCTCACTAATCTTTCTTTCATTTCATCCTTGGATTCGGCAAGTATCACAATATCATCTGTAAATATCATATTCCACGGGACTGTTTGTGGTATAGACTGTGCTAATGCATCTATTACTGTTATGAAGAGAAGTGGGCTAAGAGCCGACCCTTAATGAACTCCCTCGGCTATTGTGAAGTACCAGTTGTGCAACGGACCATTGTTGTATGGCCTATATACATATCCCATATTATTCTTATATATTTTTCGGGAACCTTTTTGTGGCATAGCGCTCACCAGATAAGTTTTCTTGGGATTCTATCGAAGGCCTTTTCTAGATCGAGAAGATTATGTGTAGCTTTTTGTTCTTTTCCCTGTATTTTTCACTCATTTGCCTAATTGCGTGAATAGCATCAGTTGTTAATCTTCCAGGCATAAAGCCAAACTGAGTCTTTCTTATTTCGATTATGTCTCTTAACCATTTTCCTATTATTTTTTCGTAGAGTTTAAGACAGTGCGACAGTTTTATGCCGCTGTAATTTTGGCAATTGTGTGGATCCCCTTTATTTTTGAAGATAGGAACTAGATAGCTCTGCCTCCATTTTTGAGGGATCTCTTCATTTCCCAGTATTTTATTGTACAGATTTGTGAGGAGATGTATTCCATCATCTAGTGCTTTAAGGCTTTTTATTGGAATATCATCTGAACTCCTAGCTTTGTTGTTTTCCATATGCTTGAGGCATGTGATTATTTCTTGTTCTCTTATTGGTTGTATAAGGTTTTGACATAGGGAGTGTTCGTCTAGATGTAGTATGTGGGGATTAAATTTGAGACGCTCCTGAAAATATTCTTTCCATCTATTCATTATTTCTTTTTCCTTTTATCAATTTCCCATCTTTATTTTTGATTACTTCGGAGCTACGTTTATATCCATAGAATTCTTTTCTCGCTGTTTAGCTAATCTGTATATTTTATTTTGCCCTTCTTTGGTATTTAGTTCTTCATACATGTCATCGTATGCCATAGCTTTGGCCCTAGCCACAGCCTTTGTAGCTACTCTCTTGAATTTTTTGTAATTTGTCTTGTCATCTGGGTTTTTGGATTTGTACTATATTAGTGCTTTTGTCTGTTTTATAGTGGTTTTTGTACATCTTCATTCCACCACCATAAATATGATTTGTTGCCTCCCCTTGTCAATCCCAGTGTCGATTTGGCAGTGTCTATTAATCTGGATGAAAGGTCTGTCCACATTTTTTCACTGACTTGTGAGGAATCTATTGTTTCCATGTTTGCATTGATTGCAAAGGCATCTGTCATTGATTTTAATCTACCTTATTTAATGCATGGTTCAAGTTTTATCTTGTTTTGAGTGGTGTAATATGAATTGAATTTAAATTGAATATAATATTAACTTTTCGTTTGTAAATTATATAACCTGAAGGATTGAATTCATGATATATAATACGTAATATTTTGTATTAAATTTACTTTTACTTACCTTTTATTTAATAAACACTTCATTGGCGACGATATTTTTAGAGAAGATTTATTTGATTTATTAAATTTAAAGTAAAAGACTCAATGGAAGTAGCTCCTATTAAAGTTGAAGATTCAATGGAAGTAGTCCCTATTAAAGTTAAAGACTCAATGGAAGTAGTTCCTATTAAATTCCATATTCCAGAATTCGTCAAAGAAAAAGTAAATATTCAGGACTACTTATTTAACTTGGAGTTAATTTATAAAGTAAGAAATATTATAGATTTAAATACAAAAAAAGACCTGCTTTTAGCCTATATCGGAACAGACAATCTTATCAAAATTAAGAACTTTCACTTTCCAATAAATTTAGAGATGATAAATTATGATACTTTAATAAAAAGCTTAAATTTAGTGTTCAAGGATAGTTCGAGCATTTTCGTAAATAGGAAAAAAATTTTTATGTTAAAAGGGTGTAATGAGACGATTATTGACTTTT